CACGTTCTCCCCGTGCATGCGTAGGTTTCCTCCGTGTGCTCCGGTTTCCTCCGGGTGCTCAACTTTCTCCTACCACTAAAAACATGCTCAATAGCTTCCCTCTCTGAAGGGCCAGGACATCCCTGAAAAAGAGATGCTGAAATCTCAGAGGGTCGTTCCTGGTTAAATAGATAACTTAAATGTGAGCGTTCCATTTGCTAAGAGTGTCAGCAAATGGAACCCCATGAGGGTTGCCAGGTTGGGTTTGGGTCGTCCACAATAAGCTTTAAGAAGATGCAAATCAGCAGAATGTACTGGAGAGTTTGTTCGGCTGTTCGTGCTTCTGGAGCTTTGAGGTGGGCAACACAAACACCTGCAGATGTTGTAGATTGTACACACACAAAAAAAGCAACAGCCTCAGTTTGTGCGTTTGACTTTGGATCTGTTCTGGCGTGTGAGCTGTAAGATGGTTCAGATCCGTGTGGTGGATCTAAACTAGAGGTTTAGACAAATGTTGTACTAATGCACTTGTGTTTGACAAACATCTCTGGACTTCAGCAGATAGTAAATAAAAATAAAATACTTTTTCCTTGTCTATTTTGCAGATGTTTTATCATTAGATTCTAAACTTTCCTTCTCTTCTTTCTCAAGTATCTCTCTGGTCTCTCTCCCTCATCTCTCTCTGGTCTCTCTCACAGTTATAATGTGCTCAGATTGAGATAAAAACCACTCAAGTCAAGCAATATTTTATGATCTTTTCAAAGTCGCACCGTGCGACAGAGGCAGCCATAATTTGCTCTCGTAGCCTTAGAACAATGTTCGTGAAATTGTAATGAATATGATCCGTTGGTTTGGCTCCCTATGTAAAGCTTTGGCTGAGTATGTAGGGGGCACTAAAGAGCCAATGTAATATTTCACACCTTCAGGTGACCTAGGCCTAGGAGTAGAACAACCGAGTCAAGTTTAGTACAAATCAGACTTTGTATGTGAAAATGAGAGCTATTTTTTCACTTTTTGCAGCTCCACTGCTCAAACAACGTTTGACTGATCAAAATTCCAACATTAATTTTTCCATTTTCCAATGAAATTTATGGGCTTCCTGTTTGTCAGGGGGCGTGCCCATTATAACTTTGTTTTCATATCTTGAGTTGAAGAACATGTGTACCGAGTTTCATGGCTCTACGACAAATTTGACCTCGAACCCCTCCCATAGGCGTATTAAATTGGCTGTGTAGGTGGCGCTGTTCTGGCATTTCAATTATTTCATTTTCAAATGACCAACACCCTAGAGTTGAACAATGTGTTAAAGTTTTGTGCAAATCATTCTTTGTATGTGCAAAGAGGAGCAAATTTAATAATGTCAAAAACGGCCAAAAACACCTAACATTTTGCCGCTCCGCTGCTCAAACAACGTTTTACTGATCGAAATTCCCTGAAGTCATTTTGATGGTACATGTGTTGAGATGATGTGGAGTGATTTTGAGGCGAATCGGTGAAACAGCCGAGGAGGAGTGCCGGCCCGAACGGCCTTCGCCGCATTGCGCAACGGAGGTGTCGCTGACGCGCCATCTTCCTACGGCCCTGATGGGAGCGACACTGTGTATTTTGAATGTCTATGATTAATGATTGTGTATCTCCATTGAAAAACGAAACCTCTTTCTCCTCATGTAACACTGGACTCAGTCTGTAGGTGGCGCTGGTGCTGCAATTTCATGTTTTACACTTTCAGTTTACCAAAACCCGAGAGTTGAACAATCAAATTCAAATTTTGTGCAAATCGGACTTTGTATGTGCAAATGGTGGAATTTATGTTGTAGAATAGCGCCCCCTACAATTTAAATTTTTTAGTCTTGTACCAAAGAACACCAAAATAATACACTTTATGCCTGAAAAAACGTATGGCAAAATTTAGTGAGTTTTCGTGTTTGTTAAGTGGGTCAAATATGAGATCAAACAACAGAAAACTAAATACCTGTATCCCCATGTAAACCTTACTCAGCCTGTAGGGGGCGCTAATGGGCCAATGTCATTGTTCACACTGTCATGTGACCTAGGCCCAGGGGTTGAACAACCGAGTCAAGTTTAGTGAATATCAGAGTTTGTATATGTGCTCCTGTTTCACATACAATCTGTGAGTGTTTCCAGACAGTCTCCATTGGATAACACGGGAACTTCTCACCTCTCTATGAAATTAACCACATTTTGGAGTCTGTCACGCTCAGACCGTTTGACTAATTCATATTCTATGATCAACTATTGATGGTCCATGTGTTGAGATGATGTGGAGCAATTTTCAGCCAAATTAGTGAAACTGCCGCGGCTGGTTTGATGTTTGAGCAAGGAGTACATTTCAGAGATTTAAAGATTTTCGCATAGACACAGAATGGAGAGTGTTTGTCGTTGCCACGGCAACAGGGTAACAAATAAGTCTTGGTTGTCATTGACATTTTGAATCCAGATGACAAAACAGAATTATGTGCAAAATTTCAAACATTTTGAAAAAACTAAATTTAATCCAGCCCATGTAAACTTTGACATAGTCTGTAAGGGGCACTAATTAGCCACTTTCAAATGACCCAGACCCTGGAGCTGAACAATGGATTCAAATTTTGTGCAAATCGGACTTTGTTTGTGCAAACGGGAGCAAATTTTTGTCAAAAATCGAAAAAATATTGATGGTACAAGTATTTAGACCATGTGGAGCGATTTTCAGCCAAATCGTTGAAACGGCGGACGAGGAGATGATTTCCAACCGACATGTGTGAAAAAGATCAATTTTCATTTTTCCATTTCCCATTGAAATTAATTAGCTCCCTGTTTGTCAGGGGGCGGAGCCATAATAACCTTTTTTTTCATGTCTTGACTTGAGGAACATGTTTAGCAAATTTCGTGGCTCTACGACAAACTTGACCTCGGACTCGCTCCCAATGGCGCAATGTAAACTGACTTTTGTAGGGGGCGCTGTTTCGACATTTTTTTAGTCCCATAAAAATCAACATCAAAATTGTTTATTTTTCGCTGGTTCTGAATTTTGTGCAAAATTTCACAAGTTTTCATCAATGTTCAGGGGGTCAAATTAAGGTTCAAAGCGCAGAAGAAAAAAGAAAGATTTTTTTCCAAAAATCTTTGAGCAAAAACAACAGGTTTCCATAGTAACTTATAATACAAATGATACACAGTTTTAAAGCAAACGACCAGACGAACACAACTATTGGGTTCTTAATGATTGACGAGCGCTGACACGCTCGTCAATTACCTCACCATCATGAGGTCACCCACCCCCCCCATAGGACCCCATTCATTTCACTGTGTACTACAGCAGGAGCAAAGCCATTCCGTGCGTCTGGCACAGATTTGTCAGTGTTTGGGCATGTGCCGTCATGTGCAGGTCACAATCTCCGGGCTGCTCCCGGCTTCGCCCAGGCATTACTCGTTGGGACAGCAATACTGTAGGCCCTTACCCCAGTTGGGGCCCGGGCCTAAATATTACCAAAATCATGTTGCATACCATTATACCAAGCGAAAGCCGTAGACAAAAGTGGTAATGTACTAGTACTGAGTCCTTCCGACTTTTGGTTGTTGTGACAGTATTGTTTCAGTATGGTTGTTTATTGCCATATTTTCTGAATGTTTCCGATTGTGACATAATCCTTGTGACATTTTGCTGTTTTGGTAAAAAACATTTTTGGAAGCTCCCATTTCTTTTGAAAAGTGCCATTTTCTCCAATTAATTTCAACAATCACAGTCAGTTGCAGTTTAATTATTCATGACATGAGCAAAATTATGATAGAATAGAAATCATCAAGAAAATTCCTTTTAGTGACTTTTCATAGCCATTTCCCAAATATGTTAACTTGTATCAAGCATTTGTATTTCAATTGCCATATTGTGTTGGCCCACCTTGAATTCTTTGTAATGAAATGTCAGTGTTTTTAAAGCTATAAAACTGGTTTAAACTGGAACACACTACAGGACACGACATATGATTTGATGGGACTGTCAAACGTGCCGATAATGCCTGTTCCTGGCGTGTTTAATGCTGTGTGACACCTCTAATGACATGAATGGATTTCCTGTGATGAGCTGGTGTCACTGGATGGGGGCTCCTGCTGTCTTTAGATGGACCCTTGTCGAGCCCCGGGAACACATGAGTGTTTATGTGGTGACAGTCACTAGGGGCGGAAGCAGATGTGTGTGAGAGCTGCTTCAGAGCCGCTGACCTATCACAGTGCTTCTTTGTGTTCTTGTGGAGAGCGCTGAATTAAAGGTTGTTAAGGCTAGTCCACACACTCATATGCTAATGCCCCTGCATGCACTCGGGGAGAATAAATAAAATATGTCCCAGAAAAGAAACCAAGCCAGTCCCCATTCCTCTGCAACTGAGAACCAATCTGAGTCACTGTGGATGAGGAGGAGGCGGCTTGGCGTAAAAATAGCACAGAAGATGGGGAAAGGAACATCAAAGAGCTACAAGACAATAGGGGGTCTTGCGAAACCTCATTTTTCGTGCTTTTGGTTGGGCTGTGTGCGATAGCGTATGAGGATAGATTGGGCAAAGCGGTGAGTTGCTAGATTTAGCCATATTGAGAAGCGAGAGGGGAGGGAGGATTTAAAGGGCAAGTGTTCTGAGGTAGATTGAGATAGAGCGAGAGGAGCATAGAGAGAGAGAGAGAGAGAGAGCAAGAGAGAGAGAGAGAGTGGCAGCGCAAAGCAGGAGAGAAGACACGAGGACACTCACTGGACACATGGAAGAGGAGAAAACGCTGATTTTGATTTACTCTCTATCTGCATGGCTTTGGAGGATTGGATCTCTGGTCTTTTTCTGGACTGAAGGACACAATATAATAGGATTCAATGGACGGAGTGCTGCACGCGAAGGATGATCAGAAGAAAAGCTGCCGTTGAGTGCTGTCCTCAGATCTTCACAGCTTGTAGATCTGGTGCTGTGGCAGGCCGTCGTTAGCCGCACAGAGACCAAGGAAGAGGAGGAGGAGGAGGAGGACTGAAGGTCTTAGGCAGAATGAGCTCCAAGCACTCAGCCGACTGGATCCCCTACAGGTACCATGCATCTGTCAGCAGGGACACACACACACACACAGGCACAGCGTGTGAACGGCAATGACAAACGGGTTACATCTGCACGGTGGCATGATGCTCAGATGGACCTCAGCCCGTGCATGCGCTGCTTTGACTGTGGGAGAAATCTTGACTTATTCAAGATTTGAGTCAATTATTTGTAGGCATGCACACAGCGCTCCACATGGTTTTGTACCGTTCATTGCAACACTCGAATGTCAACATTGTGGGACGAATATAGAATGTCTTGTTTTAACGGGACATTGCATTGAGTTTTGCATCTTTGCTTATGACAACAGCTGATATTCAACATATCAATTGCCTTTTTATTGAGCTAAAGTGTAAGTGAAATTGGGGAATATCTTGCGATGATGCTATAATGGGTGAGGGTAAAGCTATGGCAAACACCTTACATATTTATCTGCTCAGTCTCCTTCAAAAAAACATAGTATTTTATTGCAAACAAGTTCCAGTTATGAAGTTGATTGCAAAGTAAATGATTGTCATGAAATCTTGCAAATGTTATTTATCTACTCATGGTCAATTTTTCAGTAAATATGCATGTTTATTCCTCTTGTGAATCTCCCATTAAAAATGCATGGGTCTATGCAGAGGTGAAGACAGCTGCACCGGGGAGCTCTTTCATCTCATTATACAGACATATACTGCTCACATTGAGTGAGACAAGCCAGATGACGCAAACAATCTCACGACCAACTTCCACAGCATATACAGATATCGATATCTGAGAGGCACATTTGGTGGATTTGCCTGATTGAGAATGACAGGTGTATGCTAAAGATAGAGATTTTACTGCTTCTTTTTAGGCTAGAGTTAGAGATTTATTTCATTTTGATAATTTATCTTTTGCTGTGTGCTCCTCTATCCTATTGTGTGTAACTTGTGATGCAACAATTACATTTTGCCACTGTGGGACGAATAAAGGATCTCTTAATCTTAATCTTAATCTTAATAAAAGCTAACTTGTGGACATTATTTTAGACTATATATCTGACACGTCCAAACAAAGGCTAAGGGGCTAAATGTGGCCAGCTGTGTCATTCTATGTGGCCCTCTGCCTTGCTAGCACAAAGTAGCCATTGAGGCATTATCCCAGTATCATCCAGACAACTTCAGCTCCACCAATACAATCAGGCTATACTTTGTTGTAAAGCTCACAACCGTTGAAATCCAGTCCATGACTTTAGCCGGATACAGTATACTGACAATGTTTTTTTCTTGCTTCCCAAAATTCCATATAAAGCGCTAATGTAGCTGTGGTGTGATTCAATATGTAAGGTCAATTGAAGCTCAGAACAGCCCGAATCCAGAAAAAAAATAGTTTTTTACAATCCATGTTGAAGGCCCTTGGACAAGTCTGGTTAACTAAATTGGCCCTAAGGTTTGGGCACCCCTGATACTGTATACTGTATGATCACATTATATACTGGTCTGGGATACAGTCTTCAACCCTGTTAGCCCTTAATGGTTTCTTCAACCCTTTGGTGGATTTATTTTTTGAGTCACTTTAATTAGCTTGGAACTAGAATCTTACCTCATTGCCATTGGAGCATCTTTATCACTTGGTTTTACCATCAAAACCCACAACCCTTTGGTAAAGGCCTATAATTAAAAAAAACTTGGGCTATTAGTGCTCCTAGATCTTATTTAGAAAAAGAAAAAAGCATTGCAGGATATCATTTATTTTTGAGGGCGAGTGACAAAAGTGATGGGCGTTTCTTCCATTCATGATTTTCTATGGACTTCGGTACATTTTTCCTCATAAAACAAACAATTTCAAAATTATTGTAGCATTGGTAATTCTTACAATAACGAGACTTGAGGCATTTTCTTATTATACACTGAAGCATTGATGAAAATTGAGTTTGTGAAATCAGTGTCTCGATATTGTCAAGCTTCTACTATGGCCCATACATTCAGGCCTGTTATCAGACAGAGTGCACTCTAAAAGCCGCACCACTCAGTCACACATGGTGTCCGTCCAAGTCCATCATCGTAACTCTCTGTAGCAGCAGATATTGTGCCCAATGCCTGCATGGACTGCAGTGATATAAGGTGTGTGCTTGACTGGCATATTAACCAATCAGATAAAGATAAATGCCTCATGTACGTCAAAAGAAACATCAAAATATAATGTAAAACTACACAGAGGACAGAGAAACAACAAATACTAAACTCTATGGGCCTCATTTATCAAGCTCTTTGCTCACGCGCAAAAGTGACCAGCACCCTTTAAAACTGCAGCAAAATCAAGTATTAATGCACACGTCCAATAAAAGAATAAAAAAAAAAAAAAAATCACACACCCTATTGTACATTGCACCTGTAGTTTAGCACCTGGCTTGATAAATGAGGCCTGAAACTCCTACATTCCATGTTCTAAATCATACTGCGGTGAGAAGGCAGGCCCCCAATGTCCTCAACATCTAGAGGTATTGTTTTATGCATTTATATGATTCTAAAAAAGGAAACAACTTCACACATACGACTTTGTGATATAAGAGGAAACTGCACTAATAGAAAAAGAGACATATGGGGCGACAGTAGCTCAGTTGGTAGAGCATTGGCCTTTGAGCCAGAGGGTCGTGGGTTCGAGCTTGACTTTCACCATCGACTCCCACTGTCTGCTGTCGTTGTGTCCTTGGGCAAGACACTTAACCTCTGGGAACACCAGCCATAGTGGGGCGGCTGCGGCTGTAAAGTGCCAAACTGCTGTTGTGTCCTTAGGCAAGACACTTGACCCCCATTGCCTAGAATGAGTCTGGTGTGTGAATGATTGGTGGTGGTCGGAGGGGCCGATGGCACATACTGGTTGCCTCGCTTCTGTCAGTGTGCCCCAGGGCAGCTGTGGCTACAGTATTAGTTGCACCACTGTGTACGGAGTGAAAGAATAATGACATGTAAAGTCTCTTTGAGTGTCCAAAAAAGCGCATTATAAAACCGATGCATTATTATTATTAATATCTCTTGCGCACAGTACTTGCTTACACTAGTATTTTATTACAAGTTTCTTCTTTCTTTTCAGCGGGTATGATTAGTGCAGAGTTAAATATGTTTAATGCTGCACGTCGAAACATTCAAGGCCGTCACCAAAACACTGTAATAAAGCGCTAGAGCATAGCCTGCATGTATTATCTGCAGTTTGTAAAAGTTGGCAACACTGTCCCACGTAATGTCTGGATTTATGCTTTAGGACAAGAGTGTGTTAACCTGTGAAGTATTTTAGGGGCCTTGTACTTTTTCCGTGACAGTTTTATTGAGTAAAGCACTCCTGGCTTTGTACTGGCTCCTAAACTTGTCACTGATTTAAAATATACAAAACGCCCTGCTGGGCTAAATGTTGGCTACTCCGAGAGATTCACTCATATTTGCCAATTACTTATTATTTGTAGATATTCTTGACAGTGTTGACACAAAGCTTTGGATTGCATGAGGGGATTGACCTCCAGTGAAATGGGGCAGTTCTCTTCATGGTGATGCCTATTCACATGCTGATTACACTGATTGCAGATATGGAGGGCTTTGTTTGTCGGTGGGTTAGATAAGTGGATGCAAATATATTTTTATTGTGGGAAGGATGTGTAATTCTTGTTGGCAATAGAACCTCAGGAGGCAGTCTGTAGCTGCAGCAACAAAGCAGGTCAGACATGAGTGAATGAAAGTACAGAATAGTAATGATTGAGAGCCAGTGTTGGGTGACAAAAAGCACACTTGCCTTTGATAATTCTATATTCATATTAATTACATACAAGTACTGTGAAATTTGACCTGCATATTTTGTACTTTGGACTGCTGTTTTATCTGTATTACTGCTAATTATTGTGTGTTTAAATGGTAGTATGAACTCATTTTAACTCATTTTTGGGAAAACGTTTTTTGATGGCGGTTTTGATCATAAGAAGAATCAAGAAACCTTGCATGTAATATTAATGTGAAATAATGTTCACATAATAATAAGTGGAAATTATTATATTTTTTGCTGTTTTCATCTCTCATTCTTCACTCACAGCCTTATGCATGTGTCTGTTGCAGCACGTTAGACGATGAGGGCTCTAACCTCCGACAGCAGAAACTGGACAGACAGGTGAGACTTTCTTTTTCAGCCGATTGTTACGTGACTTCATCTTAACCTAATGTGGCGTGGCACAGCGCTGTGGACACAGGTCTGCTGCTGCTCTGCAGAGTCTGTCAGGAGTTATTACTCAGAAGAATAGGCTTTGGGGAAACATCAGGTATATGCTATGATATCAGGAGATGCCAGTAAACAGGCTTCTACCAACCAGGATCATTCAAAACTGTGCTGCAGGAAACTTTGGACACATTTGCTGAAGTTGTACTTGTGGTCAGTGGACTTTTGATTGCTGGAATGGCATCAGTAGAATGTTGCAGTAGCAGCAACAGTAGTAGTAGCAGCAGCAACAACACATTTTTTAATGAAAATAATATATTAATCATTTATAAAATAATTGTTTCTTCATAGCTTCCTGAGCAGAGGTTTACCACAAGTAAAGTAGTGTTTGCGGGTTGAAAAACCTCTAGCAGATAATTGTGTGACGTAACACACATCATGCGAAGATCAGTTTTTTCCTACACTCTTGTGGTGTTTACTGTGTAACTAAATACATGTACTGTACAGAGAATGTGTATTTGCTAAGTATTTTCTGCAGGACTGCCCAAAGAAGATTCTTTTAGTGTTGCAATCACTGACCGTTTGTGTATCCATTGACAGGATCAGGCAGTGTTTTCTTGAACAAAGCCCTTTGGAGAAAAATATAGGTGCCATCAGCGCCTGTTCATATTAAACAAAGCAGTGTTTGGAGATTAAGCAGATGGTGAGAGAGGTGACAGGTGATCCATAAGTCATTTGGCACCATTCACCCACTTTCGACAAGCACATCACGAGATCTGCTCTTGTTTCTGTAACTTTCTTCTTCTTGGTAAATACAAAGTCAGATCACAGGAGGTTGTGAAAGGGGTTAGAACTTAAAGGCACAGCAAGTTTAACAGTTTGGCAAGTTTCTTAAGCACAGTTCATGCACAAACTCAAAGTGCTGAACAAAACAAGATAGAAACTGTCACACAAGACATACAAATCATGGTACATAAAAAAGAGGGATTCTAATATCCCTCAGTTGTATGCACAGCTGAACAAAACTGTTTTAAACCTGTATTTAAACATTGTCAGAGAAGAAGCCTGTCTCACATTTTCAGGAAGATTGTAGCTGCATTTATCTGAAATATTTAATTTGTAGTTTTGCTGTAAAATTTGTATTATTTTATCACGAGGCTTATTGTAATAATTGTAATAATAAGATGACTAAATGCATATTCAGGATGAAAATAATCAGTGGAAACAGTTAATTGTAGGATAGAGGTGAGAATTTGGACGTGCGTTTAATTTCTTTGAACAGCCACTAATCTTTTCTCTCTAAAAAGTATTTTGTAATTCAAGTCGAGGGATTCAACTGTACTGTATACAATCATTGGTTGTGAGAGCTGACAAGATCATGATGCCAGTAATATTCTTTTGTTATCATATAAAGCTTTCTTTATTGGATCATAATTGTCAGAGAAAATATTTTGACAGTGAAACAAAACTTGAAGACATCTTTAGTACAGCACTTGTCAAGGCCATTGTTGTTCTGCAGAGAGCGCTGCTGGAGCAGAAGCAGAAGAAGAAGAGACAGGAGCCCCTCATGGTGCAGTCCACGGTGGACGGGAGGTCCCGCACACGCCGCACCAGACAGAGCGAGGAGCAGGCGCCTCTGGTGGAGTCCTACCTGAGCAACAGCACCATGTACCACGGTGAGGGGCCACGGAGCAGCACTATCACACACCAGTGCAGCTTCAAGGAGACTGTGCTTTGGTATTAAACGACTAAAACATCCATCTGTGTCCCACAATACAAGAAAAACATGTTCCAATCAAATATAACCTTTTCTCATAACATTTGTTCTGTTGAGTTATTTTTGATTTAAGAAAAACAAGCTCCCATCTCAATCTCAGCGCGCTGTGATGAACACTTGTTTAGAGCAGTGTTCTGCCTTTTATAACAACAGTATCAGCTCCAAATAAGTCTTTCAATGATCTCCATCATGAGTACATCTCATGACTAATTTTGTGTGTAGTGGCCGAAAATATTTTTTTCTTCTTCAACTTAACATCAGCGTTTACAAATAAGACATTGAAAAACATTTTGGGGGCCATTAAAAATGATTCCTGTGACCTAAAGAGTACTGCCGGGGACGTGTCCTCAACCTGCAGGTTCATGCCCAAGTGAATCTAATTAAGGCCACTTGAAACATAAAAGGCATGACTAGAACAAAGTTCCTGATAGAGCTTCAATTTGCAACAGGAGGAAATGGAAGGGAGACAAAAACAATATTTGAGTAATTTATGGAAAATTTTAGATCACTCGTCTTTCTGAAATTATCCTGAGGGTTAGAGATCAAATTGAGTAAGTAAGTAAAAAAAAGACCCCAGCACAGAGGCGGAGGGTCCAACGGGCTGTCCTGACACTGGGAGATACGAATGAAGGCTGTTACTGGTGCCGTCCGCAGCCTGACGACCATCACAGCATGAGATGGCTTCAAAAACAAAACATGTCTTCAAAGACCTTGTTTCCTTGAAGAAACCGCTGAACATGGGATTTGTTGTTGAAAGGTGGAAGAAACTGTTATTCACTAATGAGAATTTGTTTGACCTTGATTCTCCTGATGGTCTCCAATGGTTACCAGTGGATCTCACCTCAGATGTTTTCTATGCACAAATGTCTAAGGTGCTTCTTCCTTCTGTGCAACCATGGAGCTTCAGGAGGTGCAGAAGGATCAAACAGACGCTGGCTTGCTGAAAGATCTTGTTTGGAACTTTGACTTGTTTTGAGAGGGTTTATGGGATTCTTTGCAGAAGTGGTTCTAATGCTCTGCAGTTTAATGTTATTTTGAATAAAATGCTTGCTATAACATTTGAGCTTAAATTTGTGATCAGCACAGTAACATTTTAAGACAGTTAGAATACAGGCTACTTGCAATTCCTTTATGGCTCATTGTCCAATAGTTTTGTGTCCAACATTTTGAATGAACAGCTCCTCAACACACTTTCACTTTTACACATACTTTTTGGCCATTAATTTAAAAACAGAAAAATAATGTGTTAGTTTCTTACTGTTCATTAGCTGAGGTCATATTTGGTCATATTCTGAAGATGACTTGTCTTCTTTCATCACCAAAAGGTTGAAACGATACATTATAAATACATCTTTGCTGTAGAAAAGGAGTGAATAATGCACAGAGAAAGGGACTCCTGCAAACAGATTGCACTTTTGATGAGATTTTTCCCCAAATGGTCCAGTTCTAAGAACTAATGTTCATTGTTGCCTGTAAAAGCCCCATCCATTTTGTTGTTTGTCTCGTGCATGTCCCATAAAGCAGAAACATTGTTAGAGGAGAATTGATGATTTTAGCTTATCTCCACATAAGTCCAGAGCACTTGAGAAGAACCGCTCCTGTGCCTGAGGCTGACTGTCTGTTTCACTGCTGAGGCTAACGTTATGGAGATGGAGCAACAGCCGCCCTTTATCCTGTTATTTATCTAAAGATCTGTGTTGTCTGCGTTAGTGGCAGAAGCAGAGGAGGTGAAGGTGACCGCAGACATGCAGCCTCCACGATCGGCCAAAAAAGGAAAAGCATCTGCCAGCTCCACACCACAGACGGGCAGCGAGAAGAGAGAGAGACGCAGCAAGCACAAAGGTCAGTGGCACCAGGGCTCGAGGTGTGGAGCCAGCGGGACAAATCAGATTCTCTTTCAATGAAATTAGCCATTTGCAGTTAAAAGACACACTGGAATACAAAAAGCACCCAGTGTGCACCAGAGACAACAGTACAAAACAAAAAATACACAATTCACAAAACAAAACACATGAAAATGTACATCATAAATCATTAAAGTTCAATGTTCAATGTGAATCAGGTGCTGAATGGGCAATCATGGCACAACAAAGTATTCCTGAAGATAACCACAAAATGTATTAACACTGGTCTGACATTTCCCCACTCTGGGACAAATAAATATCTTAATCTCTTCATCTTAATTTATACATTCTAATTTGGAATGTGTTTGTATTTCCTTGATTTCTACTTCAAAGAGGTTCAAATAATCCACTTTGTCCAATTTGAACAGAAATAATTCAAACTAAACTAACCTAAACAGACAGCGAGTTACAACATGAGCGCTGTTGTGTAGATAGATAGATACTTTATTGATCCCCGAAGGAGAAATTCAGGTGTCCAGCAGCGGCAAAAATGAAATTGATCATTCTAAAAAGCTAATTAGCAGTAGACTAATGCATAAAAAATAAAGTAGAAAAAATGTGTCCGATACATCCGAGAAATCCATATTTTGCCGTTCACTGATGAGCTATAGACGGCCATTTTTGCTGTCTGAGGAGAAATTCTAGTTCATCTTATCAAAAAAAAAACAAACGCAATCTACTCCAAGGGGAAAAGTGGTTAATCAGGCCAGCGGCGCTCATTGCACCACTCCCAGATCCGTCACAGGAGTTGCACTGTGATTTCTCTCTTTCTCAAAACGTCTCCAAAGATTAAAACTGCGCTTGTCTTCTGCAATGGATGATTTAATGTCATGTTTTGGATCTTGTGTTTTGATGTAATGAAACCCCCACACACCACATTAGCGGTTGCCCACAATGGTTTGAGGCTGGTTTTTAATGCTGTGTTCTCTGTGTTCAGCTGGGATCGATGGCTTGTCTTCGCAGCAGGAAGACGGACACATCCAGATCCTCACCGTGGGACGTCTCTCCACCGACGAGGCAGAAGCGGAGCCTGTGGTCACCTGCACTCACTCCCAGAGCAAGCAGGACCTCCGGGTGACCATGCTCAAGAAAGGTACATGAGTCCATATTGCACACAGAGAGAGGCATTCTCAAAACGTGAATGGAAAAGGTCAAACGAAAATTCCTGCAGGGACATGGCAACACGTTTTGACCCCTCTTGAGTCTTAATCAGGGCAAGACAGATTTCAAACATGTTCAAATTATGACAAGAAATTATTGTTTCTCACACAATTTTTTACAATAAAGCCAAATACCCCAAATGGTGTCTGTGATGAGACTAGATGGACTTTATTGAGCTCTCAACGGAGAAATGTACATGTCATATCTGGCATTAAATACATCTCTTAATCTTAATTATATACATACTTTTAAAAATGTGTTTGTATTTCCTTGATTTTTACTTCAACAAGGTTCTAAATAATTCAGAAGGTCCATGAGGCGGACCCAAAAGCAGAGAAATAAAAGGTTAAAACTGCTCAATTTATGTTAATATATACTTATTTTTGTCATTTTTTGCAGTGTATGTTTATATCAGAACCATTTTGATACTTTGTGGTACCATAAAATTAAATCTTTTGGGAAACAATGACAGTTTATCCATAAAAAGCCTCAACAACAAGTTAAGAATTAGCATGGGATGAGAGGGGGGTATTGTGGAGATTATTAATTTGAAGGAACCAGATAAAGTATTTTTATTTGTATTTTATTTTCTGTTATTTCGTAGCTACCACTGACAACGGAAAAGTGGTTTACATACGCTCCACATTACTTTAGTTGTTATTAATTATAGAAAAGCGTCACAATGTCTCATGTGAAGACAGAAAATAGTATTGTTGCCCTCCCCTGGAAGTGAGTGCAAACTGACACTAAACTATATGTAAAAATACAAATAAAAAGTGAAAAATATATTCCTTTGGTTTTAAATCCGTCAAATTCCTTCTGTATAATACAAAGGAGGCTGCAGCTAAATCAATACTTGGGTTTCAGACTCTTGTTTCATTGAACATTTTGGGAAGCGTTTTTCCCATTCAAACATTAGGTGGTGAATCGTTAATCTCTACGGCAACGGTTGAGTTTTAATGATCTGAAAAGCAGCTATGAACAAAATTTCTCTATGGATTTCAAATGTTGTTAACAGCTAATTATGAGCAATTCAATCTTGGCTCACACTCACAAGCAAGGTAGAAAATGAACGAATCAGAAATGAATAAAACCGCGGCGATATCGGCCGTGAAAATCATTCCTCTTTGAGTTGGAACGACTGATTCACATGAGGCACTGGTGATAAAAACAGCCTTCTACGTTTCATTTGTAACTGATCAGAGATTTGTGTTATATATATTTGTTTACGATTGAAGGTATTTCCAGCAGTATGAATTTTGATGAGGAAGAAGATGACGATGAGGAAATTAGCTCCAGCTCATCGCAGCTCAACAGCAACACGAGACCAGGCTCCGCAACCAGCAAGAAGTCCAACAAGGTACGCTTCAGTTTCATGTTTTAAGGCTGCAAAATGTCAAAATTATGCTATTGATAGCTTAGAAAAAACACGTTCACAAACTGGAATCTTTGTCCATGAGCTGATTTCTAACTTCATTTTCTTGCAAAAAATCAAAAAATATTGTTCAAAGAATTCAAATATTGTCTCAAAACCCAATTTACTTCTTAATATATGACTCATGATATGCAAAGTGACATAAATCAAGCTTTTATCTGTTATTATGTTTATAATTGTTGCTCACAGCTTTGAACATGTCTTTGAAAATTAGAATATCTTCATCAAATCGTCAAAATGATAACAAAAAAAGGCTGAGGATATACATCACTCTGCATGTAATAGGTCTATCTCCTATATTTGGTTCTCACATTATAAATGGAACTAGAGAAATAAATGAACCTTCGAAAAATAGTAGAAAAAAAAAAGTTGCAGCTTTACATAATCTCAAGATTATTCAAATATATGACTAAGTGAGAATTTCTGGTGAGAGCGGATCCCTCTCTCACTGTGGGCCGAGGTTTCTTCTACTTTTTCCCACTGGGTTTGAGAATTGTTCCTAATGCAGATGCAGGAGGGTCTAAGGACAGTGATGATCCGGTACATTTAAGGACATTTATGGACATCTGTTAACATTATGGACATTGGTCATCTGCCCCCTATGGACCAATGGCTCCTAGGAGTTTGTTTTGATTTCTCCACCCAGCAAGCTCCACTCCACTAAGCCGTCCTTAAACTCCGGTCAATTATTATTTCCCCTACATATACAAAAGTACATTTGCACGATGGTGTGGTACAACCAGGATACCACCAATCAAGTGCTGTGACCTATAAAGTGCTGTTGCAGGTTATTACTATTGCTAGCAACTTTAATAATGTTTTATTTATTTGTTTTGTTTGTGTGGATGGATGTGTTTTTGCTGCTTATATCTACAGTATCTATCTATCTATCTATCTATCTCAGATTCAGATTCTTTTTTTTGCCATTTGCAGTAAAACCACATTGGAATACATCTGCAAAAGTCTATTTAATATCTATCTATCTGTCTATCTGTACTTTTATCTATTATCTGTGTTCCTGTATATTCTTTGATTTGTTGTTGGCGAATCCACAACTTTCCCTGACATGACTGCTGTTGTGATTTAGGGCTATTCAAAAATAAATTGGATTGAATTTTGTATGCACAGGAAGTGGCCTCTGCAACGGTTCCTGTGGTGAACGAGCCGTCCATCGATGTGGACGACCTGGAGGAGTTTTCCCTGCGGCCGGCTCCTCAGGGCGTCAGGGTGAAGTGCCGTATCACCCGAGATAAGAAGGGAATGGACCGCGGAATGTACCCCACATACTACCTGCACCTGGAGCGGGAGGACGGCAAGAGGGTGAGCTGCTTTGAAAAATACATACGATACATATTTGTTTCATAAAAGGTATTTCCTTCTGTAGCCGCCTCCCATGACTGTGTCCTCTCTGATTCCTCTTTCAGGTGTTTTTGTTAGCAGGGCGCAAGAGGAAAAAAAGTAAAACATCTAATTATCTCATTTCCATTGATCCCACCGATCTGTCCAGAGGTGGAGAGAGCTTCATTGGCAAATTGAGGTAAAGTGACATTGGCCTCACAAAAGCAATTCCCACTAAACACGGTCTGATTAAAATGTTAACGGCATTTGCACACCTCAGTTTGGGAATCGATCAAACACACATTTTGAAAATCTAAATTCTAAATCCATTATGCAAATTATTCTCTGTGTTTCCGTTTTCGTTTGTTCAACATTCTAATATCATTACAACTATAAAGGTCATGTCTACGGGTGTGACAAAACATCACTAATTGGAAAATATACCTTTTTAAATGTATGAATTAAATTATATACAATATTGAGTTTTTTATATAACAATATCGATTTTTTTAATTTCATCTTTTTTTTAGATATAGATCTATTTTTCATATATATATATTTTGACTTAATAACAATTGATTCTCATGAAATAAATCTTAAATGCATCAACAGTGTTTTGTTTTTGTTAGAATGTGGCGGAGCTTTATATATGGGGCCAAAAGGCTGTTTACTGAATCGTATAGTTGAGAAATGTATGGTATAGAATTGAAAGTCCTCCTGTATCTAAATATGAAATGATCAGGCTCTGAAAGACACCCATCCCTGATTATGTCCCGTCTTATTGTTTTATCAGCTCAGGGCTTCATGTTTTCAAACTATATTTACCTTATTTTCATCACTCAAAAGAGCTCTTTTTATGGCCTTTATAACACTCTCAGCGGTGAGAGCTCGCCTAATCCTTTGAGACAGCATTAAGGCTGCGCCCACAGCTCCATGGAGACTCCAGGGAGTTTAATCAAATATGACTGGGGCCTGGGTGCAGCCTTTCATCTTCAGAGGCCGTCCGACCATTGGTCCATGCACCACTCAGACCACTGCAATCACTGTCACTGCACTGGAGAGATCTACATTTAAATGAGTCCTGACCTTTCATCTAGTGATTTCTAAGAGGGGTTGAGGTAAAATCCATAAATAAGCTATTGTCCATTAAAGGAAGCAACTTATTCTTTTCAAGATAAGATAAGATGGACCTTTATTTGTCCCACAGCGGGGAAATTTCAATGTCGTCATGTCAGAATAAAAAGTAGGAAATAAGAGCACTCAGATTGCACACATCGCACATGATCTATTATCTAAGATTATAGATAAAACAATAAAGTATTAAGAAAAAAAAGAAATAAAGGAGAATAGAATAAAACTCTATATATATAATTGCATTGGTTCAGGATAAGTTCACCAGTGGAGTATACACTGTTATTGTTTTTATATGATGAGGTAAAATTATCCATGTGTGCACTATAGAATCGCCCGTGTGTGGAACGGTGTGAAAGCCTTTTATTGTGAACACACTTACAACTCGGAGGGAGCAGAGAGATGGTGGAGTGTGGATGGAAAGAGCTGAATCCATGTTGCAGCTAATCTAGGTTAACAGTTCCCCAACGCTCTGAATGATTTAAGCAGAGCGTTTTCTTCCCGATCGCTCCTCAGTGAAGCCGGTGTTTAGTAGGCGGACACTGTGACTGTAAGTGCGAGCAGACATCCTTCTCTCTGCGCAGATCCAACCTCATGGGGACCAAGTTCACAGTTTACGACAGCGGCCTGAACCCCATGAAGAGCACCACCAGCCTGGAAGCCAGCAACCTGCGACAAGAGCTGGCCGCTATTTGTTATGTGAGTATAACACTAGGACCCACACGATTCTGAAACTACCAGAACTCCCAGAGCAGTCATTTTGACGGGTCCCATTCAAATCAATGGGGTTATGAAAAGAAACCCATAAAAACAGTTTTTATTTTTCATACATGTTAAAATTGGTGAATACAACTGAAATACAGCAATACTACGATTTTATCTTTACTCTTTTCAAAGCTGTGGCTATTTATGATTTTAATCTGATGTGTGATTTTTTATTTTTTTATGTTTTTAATTACATGTGTGATTTCATTTTTATGTTTTTAATATTACTTTAGATTTTTAAATGTTTATGATTTATGCCTGATGTGATGTGGGTTGTGAGGCGCTTTGTGTTGCCTTGTGTAGGAAGGGCGCTCTACAAAGAAAATTGTATCGATTAATTGATACTATCTGCTGCAGGTATACAGTGTGTTGCTATGGAAACTAGCACTTGCACCAATCTAGGATCGAGATCTCTTCATAAACATAATGGCATAGATATAAACTGCATATGGAAACAGAAAAAGTCCGTAATGAAAAGCTCTGGGAGTTCTAGTGTTAACGTGTGACCGTCTCTAAGGCACAATTACTGGTATACTGTTAATTTAGGTCATGCTCACGTGACATCCCAGAGAATCACAGTCAAAGTGCACTTTTCTTGTGCTTCTCTTTGGTTAATAACTGTGTAATTACTGGGCCTATTCACAGGAAAGATTAAAAGCTTGCACCAAAGCTTCAGAAAATAGTTCCATTATTCAAACATAAAGATGTAATTGCAATTAAGAGTTAAGAGGCCTTTCAACCATTAGAGCAAATTCATGTTAAAGCCTTACACTTTTCAATTTCATGATTACATTGTCACTCTGTCAAATAGTTGGTCTCCTCTTCCACATTATCCATCTAACCGAGAAATATTTTTTGTTTCCACTCTTTTCCCGTGTCCAAAAATTGTCCAACATGTTCAAAAACAGTAAATCTCCAGTAGAGTTACATAGGACCCATGAGCTGAAACTGGGAAAGCAAAAGTAGAGCACAAAACTCTGCTGTTCCATTCCATATAAAAAAGAAATCATTCTGGATCCAGACGGTGAACTGGATTTGCTCTTTGTCCCATGAGCGTTCCTGTAAATATCGTAAGAATCCACCATTAGCTTTTTGAGTTATGGTGTGAACTATCAGGTGTATGAACAGAAATAGATCTAGAGCAGTGGTTCTCAACCTGAGGGTCGTGAGAAAAAATCCAGGGGCCACCAGATCATGTAGATAATTAGAGCAGAGCAGTCATTTTGACGGGTCCCATTCAAATCCCATCAAATAATAAAAAGTAAAAACAAAATAATAAAAAGTCTGTGGTAAAGTTTGCTAATTACACACAGACTTTTTAAAATGTAGATTTGTCTGCTCTGTAATGGGTGGGAGTTGCGTTGCTAAAAGGTTGAGAACCACTGACCTTTAGAACAGCCTTTCTCCATTGCTATAGACTGGTGTAACTGGAAATAGATTACCCTGAATATAGTTCTTACTGTATACAATATCATTCTTCTTTATGTCATTTTAGGAAACCAATGTTTTAGGCTTCAAGGGCCCTCGCAAAATGAGTGTCATCATTCCTGGTATGAATATGGACCACGAGCGAGTGTCCATACGTCCACGAAACGTAGGTCTCTTCTCCTCTTCTCTCAATCGTCCGTAATGTTAAGAGTGGTGATCGTGCGTTATTATGGTCTGTATCACAGGACCACGAGTCACTGCTGGCCCGGTGGCAGAACAAAAGCACCGAGAGTGTGATTGAGCTCCACAATAAAACTCCAGTGTGGAACGACGACACGCAGTCATACGTGCTCAACTTCCACGGCCGTGTCACCCAGGCTTCCGTCAAGAACTTTCAGATCATCCACGATAACGACCGTCAGTGCACTCTCATTGCCCGCTTTCTTTATTTGTGATGTAATGTAGAAAATCACTGCCATCATCTGCTGCTTTAGGCAAGGCAGGGCAAGTGTATTACAGCACACTTCATGCACAAGTCAACTCAAAGTGCTTAGCAAAACAGAGCAGAAGACATAATCACAGTTCTGTTTATACACAATGTCCATCCATTTTCTTCCGCTTTATCCGTTGCCGCAGCAGTCTAAGCAGAGAAAACCCAGACTTTTCCATCCACACACACCTCCTCCAGCCTCATCCAGGGGACTCCCGAGACGCACAGTCAATGTATATATTTATATTGTATTAAAAACAAAACATTCAGTTAGCTTTCGGTGTCTGAAACCATTTTGGGAGATTCACATAGTTTTGAGTAATTATATAAGTAAGCAAAGCATGACATTGTATTCAAAGATTTTCTTTAAATAATTGATTCCTTTTATGAATTGTTGCATGCCTAAAATGTTATTTAAGCCTGAATACTAACATTTAAACTCTTATCACAGTGTTTTTACAGTATGGGTTATTGTCAAGTTTTGATTTATAAACGTTGTTGTTGCAGCTCCATAACCATAAGATTTCCTGCTATTAACTCATTAACGTATTTGTCTGAGACTTTTGTCCAACTTCACTCTTTTTGACCGGGGATTACAGAACAAAAAAACTAGCTAGAAACAAACTTAATTTTGCAGACAATAAAGTATTTCAGAATCTGGTTTCATATTTCACATAGTCATAGCACATAATATTCTGTGGGTCTTGAGAATCAGTGAAATCATCAAAAACCGCTGGCAGTCAATGAGTTAATCTTCTAAAAATTCTTTCACCTATCTCTATATAATCCCTTTCTTCTGTTGCTTCTGCAGCCGACTACATCGTGATGCAGTTCGGGCGCGTGGCAGAGGACGTCTTCACAATGGACTATAACTACCCCATGTGCGCGCTGCAAGCATTCGCCATCGCCCTGTCCAGCTTCGACAGTAAGCTGGCCTGTGAGTAGCTTCAGAGTCCAGCGCCGCTCCGTCCGTCCACTCCAAAAGGGCTCCATCAAAATGGTCCCTAACCGTCCACAGAGCTTTGGCATATCCAACCTAATCCTAATGCTTTACATGGGCCTCGAGATCAGAGCGACTGTGTGCAAGCGTGGGGACCCGTGGGTGGGTTAGAACAATGGGAGAACAAGCACAAAACATTTAAATGAGGATCCTTTGTTTTACAACTGTGGTTACTTTGTATTGTACTGGAATGTTCCGACACAGACACTGTTACATTTGGGCACAGTTCAAAAAATGCACTCTTTTTCCACTTTGTTTTACGTTGACCTTATGTGACTCATAGACTGTATAATAGGAGTGGGCTGACTTCGAATGCTGAAGTCCAAGGCCGAATGCAGAAGAAGACGATTTGAGCATAAGATAGCTGGAGCCAATTTCCTTTGGGGTGGCACGGTAGCACTCTTGCTTCTCCACCAGAAGATCCTGGGTTCATATCCCGGTCAGGTGGAGTTTCCACGTTCTCCTAGTATCTGCGTAGGTTGCCTCTGGGTGCTCTGGTTCCCCCTACCACTAAAACACATTTACAAAAGATAAAATCCACCAGCTCTGGCAGTCCTGACCAAGAGCGCTATGGCGACCACTGCCCCTGACACTGCCCCTAGTGGCATTGCAGGATGGGTCAAATGTAGAGGACAAAAAATAAATAAAGTGTACATAACTGTTACAGATTTTTAAAGCCCAAAAGATGGTATGAGCTAACTACATTATCTTTTGAATGTAAGTCAATAGGAGCCAGAGCGAGTTGGAACAAAACGTCGTCCATGAGCACTTCCCTTATGAGACAGTGGGTTAGAATCGTCCATCTATTTACAGTCTATGATGTGACTCCATATTTGCAGTAACTCTAAAACATGCATGTCATTTTATATTTATTTTATCACATATTTATTTCATTGCCTATAATTGGGTCCAAAGACCTACCAGCACATCACTACAGATGTTTGTTCTCACATTTGAAAAAGGGCAAAGGCATATTTCACTGCAGTGTGTGCCATTGGGAGTATCGTGTTAAATGTATGTGAATGTATAAGACAAGGGTGCACTTTATTTGTCTGTTGGACCCGGCTGTACATAGGTCTTTTGTGCCTTTGAAGACTATTTCCAGTGGGAAGTGGTGAAAGTCAAACGTGAGCTTGAATCGGTCTTTACTCCTGCTGTTGTGAACTGTGTTTTGGAGAATTTCCCTGTAGCTTCTCTCGGTCAAACCGCACAGTGCATTTTGACGTCTTTCTTCCAAGAACGAACCTCACGTCAACATATTTAACTTTTCTGGTGGGAGAATTTGTTGCTTTGTCTGGAATATTTCACAATATGGGGAATTTACCCAGAGGAGGAATATTTTAACTGCTACCTGATATTAAAGCTTGGGTACCTAACTTTCAACTTATGTTGCTTTCTAAAGATGAAAAAGAGAGAACCACCCTCACTCAGCCAATCAACTCTCCGCCCAAAGCATCAGCGCCCAAAAGTGACACACAGGGCTCTTTCTTACAAGTATGCAAAAGATAAGCAGGGCAGGGCCTGGATAGAACTGTGATGGGAGACCTCTGGGAACATCAGGTGCCACAGTGGCGCAGCTGTGGCTGTAAAGTGCAAAAACTGTCATGTCCTCAGGCAAGACCCTTCATTCAAATTGCCTGGCACGAGTCTAGTATGTGCCTGAATGGTGGGTGGGGGTCAGAAGGACCGATGGCACATATCAGTTGCCTTGCTTCTGTCTGTGTGCCCCAGGGCAGCTGTGGATGCAGTAGTAGCTTCTGTCCAGTGTCCATAAAAGTGTTATATTAAACCAATTATTATTATTCATTATTATTAAGCAGAACCTATATGCTGTGGTCTGATTTATTACTTTTACAAGACTTATTCTGTTATTATTATTATACAAAAATAGTATCTTTTTTTAAAGTTAGGTACCCCAGTATTAAGTGAATGGATAATGCAGCTTTACAAACTGATGCAATTGAATCACCATAGACAAGTAACACTAACATTATGGAACATTTCAGGCAAAATAATACAATTGGGGAAAAGTGAATGACAACATTTCACAGCAAAACATATATTACACTTTTGTGGTCATATTTTATTTCAATTTTAATATTTTCCTACTATACTGCCAACAGCACACACAAACCACATATAATTTGATTGTTTTGAATTAAATGCTATGTTGTATTTTTGTTATCTTCATCGTATTCAACTACACACTCTGGAGGACAGTATTCTCTATAGATTACTATTTTGTATTTTTTGACCATCAAAAAAAGAAGCAAAGAACAATCTCTGATACCGCTGTTGTACTGTGGGTCCTGAGGGAATCTCTATCAGATGTGCTATTCTTGTACTCAATTGTCTTCTAACTATTTCTATTTACAAACTTGATACATTTGCTGTAGTCTGTAAGTCTGCTTTTCATACATGTGTCCAGAAGCCAAAAGGTGTTTCATTCTCATTCTTACAGTGCACTTGATGTGATGTATAGTAAATACATTTTACTTTTGGTGTACAATTAATTGTTGTGATATAAGCCTTTGGAACTGGAAGACAAAATAAAACTTCATGATGACCCTGTGCTTTATCACTTTGCACTTCCTGATCCTATATCTCAAACTTCTGACTGATGCGCACAGTGCAAACATAAAGATGGCCACGAGCTGGAGCCATTGCACAGCTGATGCTTAATCCTTATTCACAATGGAACATGAACACATCTAGACTAAAAATGGTAAATGTGCATAATTCAACACAATAATAAATACATGTGCAATTGCATAAAACGAGCGCATGACAGAAGTGAGATTGTACGCTTGTGAATGATAACATTAAAATCGTAATTTCACCAGAAACGACCAGAGCAGATTGTGTGTTGTGTCTCAACCTGTTCATATGTGGTGAGTACTCGGTTCAAGAAAGTCACCTTAGTCAAACATAATATAGCCTGGAGTATATATTGAAGACATTAAAAGTCTCTCTTGACCACTGACCAGAGATTAGAGGTGCCTTGGGTTTGTCTCATACAGTACATGTATTGTATAAAAAATGAATCAGTCCAGACAATTATTCTCACTACAGCTGTTTTCCCAAGTACACCCCTGAGTAATTTGACGAAAAGAACATGCTTGAGCAGTGCTTCCAAAATGGCCCCTGGAGGCACTTTATGGGGACTCAAGAGGTTGCCATCTCAACAGTTATTGAAAATGACATACAAATAGTGGGTCAAGGTACCACTTTTTACTGATTAAATCCTTCAGGTCATTTTAGTTAATAGAACAAAAATATCACAACCAAGTGCTAGTTTGTACTGCTTAATTTGTTGTGATTTCTCATCATGTTTAACCACAAATATAATATTACTCCAGCAGCTAAAAAAGCAGTGGAACCATATATAAATTAATCAAAAGTCCGTTCTTATTTTTTTTCCACATTCTCCTCAATTCGGCTCACTGCAAACTGATAACAATTTATTAAAGTAAAAAAATAGCGGCACGGTAGTGCAGTGGTTAGCGCTACAACAACAAGGTCCTGGGTTTGATTCTACCACCATGCTTTCTGTGTGGAGTTTGCATGTTCTCCCCGTGTCTGCCTTGGTTTCCTCCGGGTACTCTGGTTTCCCCCACCACTAAAAACATGTATAGGTCTGGCATGCGCCTCGTGTATGGCAACCTTGCTCCCATCTCTGTGTGGAGTGAGAGACAAACGCCCAAAAAACAACTCTGGTCCGTGAAAGGTGCTATAAAAAAAGAGATTACTTACTTACTTAAATAGTTGATTTGGTGTTACAAAAAGGAAAATCTTCTATCATATTTCTATACTGAAGTACCAATTCTACTTTCAGTTCATCAGCACTTTTATCTTTTATCCTTCGTGCCTGGTGTTGTTGTAAATGTGCCATACAAATAAAGCTGACATGGACATTGACTATTATGTATCTCGCCTGTTTCTCATTCTCAGCCCACTGCTGTGTTCTGTGTGCTGCTGCTGCTGGACTTCATCCTCTGACAGAGCGCCCCCTGTCTCCTCCTCTGCTTCTGCCTCCGGGTTTGTCCCAATATCACAAGTGAACAGGAGACTCTCTGCCTCCATCACTGGATCTTCTTCATCTGCCAGAAGTACTTCTCCAGCAGCCTGCACCTCCTCCTCATCTTCACTCTCCTCTTCCTCTTCTTCACACTCCTCTTCCTCCTTGTCCTCCTCGCAGGCATCTTCTCGTGGATAGCGGTAAACGTCTCGCTGATCGCTGAAGGTGATTTTTTTACCCGGGCTTTGACTCCGCAGCTCCGTGCTCACTTCCAGTCCCAGGAACTTCTTCTCTGACATCAACATGGGGGAAGGAGGACCAAGCAGGCGCCCTGTCTCCTCCTCCTCTTCCTCCTCCTCTTCCTCCTCTTCTTCCTCTTCTATGTTGTCTATGGTTTCCACTTCATCATCATCTTCTGTCTTTACTTCCCCTATAATAGGCATGAGTTAGAATCATGTTCGAATCATGCATGTTCATTTACAGAAAATAACTCTTTTGCAATGTTGACGTAAATTATGCAGTATTATATAAAGGTGCAGTATTATTAGTATATGCAGTATTATTATAAGATGCATTCCTAACTGCTCTGGTGGTGACCCACTTTTTGCTTGGGTTCATCTAATGATATACTTTATCATTTATACAGTTTATCAATAACACGTCCTTTTTACAGAAATACCTGCAATAAAACATTGGGGAAACTGTAAAGGACATCGAGCATCAGAAATACCAGAAAAAAGTATGAAAAAAGAGACTGCAAGGCGACTCACCAGATCAGAAAAAGAGGAAAAAGAAAAGCTCAAATTAGAAAAATTTGAAGATAAAATCATGGACTGGGATTGTACAAAAGTAAAAGGAACAGAAGAACATAATTACCAAACATGGACACGGGAGGCTGTTTAAATCAGGAAGTGGGACACACAGACCATCAACAGATATGAGGGGCCTTCACGTTGGCTCACACTTCTGACTCACTTCTCCCGAGACCAAAGTGCAGTGAGTGACACAGTCAGTTTACTAAAAGCTAAGGTGGACGATTCCACAGAAATATGTCAGGTCATTAAGCCTGCAGCTTTTTCAAAGCACCTGAGTGCTTCCAGTTATATCTGAAGTCGACTCACTGTAAAAAATTATAGTTTGTTTATTTCCTTTTATTCGCTTATTTTTCAGGGACATTGTGCATTAAAAAAAATCTGTAAATGCCCCAGAATTAGCCAAGTAGGCTTTTTTCTGTAGTCCCTGGACAGGTGTGCATAGTCTCTTTTAGTTTAAGCACTAACATCATTTCTAAGTGAAGGATGTACATGTTGAAAATGCGACTGAGCAACAGCTGCAAGGCAATTACATACCACCTCACAAAAAGTGGGTCACCACCAGGACAGTTTAAGAATACAACCTTTGAGAATGAAAGTCGATAAGATATCGATAAAATACAATTTAACAGATTACTCTTTATACTGTATATGCAAAAGGTCACCTTCTGTTTCTTCCTTCTCCTCCTCCTCCAGCTCCTCCTCCTCCTCCTCGATCAGCACCTCAAGTTTTCTTGGAGCCACCTCTTCCTCCTCCTGCTCCATCCTCTCAGCGAGGGCCTCTGCTGTGGGCTGACTCACAGTGGCCACTAGGGGCGCTCTCTTACGTCTCTTTCTGTGACAAAGCTCATCCTCATACTCTGGGAATGTCTCCTCTGGGTAACCTGCAATGCACAGACTCTGTCACAGGCTAGTTTGATCTCATGCTATGTTTAAAAACTGCTGATCAGACTGATTAACATATCAAATACAGTAGAGACATTAAAAGGAGTAAACATATAACTTCGGTGTTAAAACCACTCCATGGAGTAGAGACTCCAAATCCAAATCCACCATTTCTAGCCTTTTGACAAGGCTAGAAATGGTGTGACCCCCTACTACCTCCAAGACAGTGAGTTATCAACCAAACTGAACACTGCGCTCGCAAAACAACAGACTTCTGGTGCTTTCTAAAGTGTCAGAAAGCACAGTCGGAGGCAGAGCTTTTAGCCACCAAGCTCCTAAACTGTGGAATCAGCTCCTCATCCACAATGAGGATAGGGAGCTAGCCAGGCTTATAACAGTCCTCTTTAATTCAGCATATGGTTAGATATGCAAGACTCAGGTAAGACATCTTACAGCTGTAGTCTGTTCATTGCTATTCACCTGCTGTCCCATTGACTGTTTCATGGCGTGATGATGGGACCCCTGAACTCTGCTCTTTGACTTGCACGTGTGAACTGGTCGCCCCGGGACCAGACTCCCTCCGCGTCTGAGAGCGTGTTCAGTCCTGCACCGCACAGCCTCAATCCTGGATCTATAGTCTGTCTGTGGGAGGAGATCCCTCTCTCAATATGGGCCTTCCAGCGATTTCACACATTTTTTCCCCTATTTTTGAGTCGTCCTATGTGTTTGTTATTATTGCATTTCCTGTGTTCGAGTTTGATTTGATGGTCTGTTTTTGGCGACTCGACAACTTTGTAAAGTCGTCCGAAGCGACTGCTGTTGTGATTCAGGGCTTTAAGAAATAAATTGAATTCATCAAATTACACTTAACACTTTCTATTAGCACAGTTGTGCACCGTTGAACCATTAAGTACAAAGTCCACAGACTGTAAACCACCATGTACAGTTCTATGATATGCACAGAGACCATACCTTCCCAGCCGGCGAAATAGGGCACCTCCTCAGCCTCCATCTCTGGCGATGTTCCCTCCAATCTTCCCTCTTGCATGAGTTCAGCCATCTGCCTCAAGTGCCGTAATAATTTCTCCTCTTTTTTCGACTGTCTATTTTTCCTGTTCTGGCCACTGGAAAGCATGTCACATTTGAGACAATATTAAACTTGTTCTATAGTTAGCTTAACTTTCCTGATTGCGGGTCCACTAGGTGGTAAATGTTGTGGTTTTGTCTGTAATATTCAAGTGGCTACAGGTCATATCTGCTTCAATGTCGGCTCTTCCTATCATTGTGAAGCAGAATTCACCAAGCGTTGGATTGTTCACCCACTAATAGGGAACGTGAGCTGGGTTTAGACCGTCGTGAGACAGGTTAGTTTTACCCTACTGATGATGTGTTGTTGCAATAGTAACAACACTAGTGTAACTAGGAGTGTTATATTATACTGAGGTACACTCCAATAAAGAAGCAGACAGTCAGAAAAGTTTTGCATGGCACCTGTGATCTTTTTGCACACCACTTCTACTGTGGGGTAATACATTTGGAAGTGTTCCATTCTAATGTATTCTTTCCACTCATAGCTGATTACTCTGTATTATTGTGTACTGTATGTCTTTACCTTCCATCTCTTCTGCTCTTCCCAGAGACAATCATCTCCATCATCTGTTCCGTCTGCAGCAGTCTGCGCTGGAGCTTGGCAAGCTCATACTCATTTACTACAAAATCACACCATATGCTACACATCCAGATATGTTGCATTTTAACTATGTTTGTTTGACTATTTCAATTCACAAATTGAGTTTGTCATAACTTAGTTTCAAGATGTGATGAAGCATAACATCTAAAAGCACACTTACATGTGTGGCCCAGTTGTGGTTTGTGTGTATCTGCAGAACCAACAGTTTTCACTGGCTTTCCCTTACATGATAGCTGTATAAAAATACACAATGACAATTTTGTGTGACCATATTCACACACGATGTTAAAACACACTTTTTATACATTGTGATCTGTACCTTGTGGATGATGTAGAGGATGTAGAGAAGGATCCCAAAGCCATAGATGGGAATGACTTGAGTCATGAGGTTGTTCTTTTGGGCGATGCCCCGCACTTTGAACACAGTCTCTCTGGGGTGAGTGAGCGAGTGCCCAGGGTCCAGACCCCACTGCTCTGGGTCCTGGGATGGACGAGCTTGGTGCATCATGGGAGGGTAGAACCCAGGTCCAACTGCAGGACCAAAGGCAAGTGCTTCAGACTTCAGGTTTAGAAAACTATCCACTAAGCGCAAAGCAATGAGTCCAGTGTCAGCCACATTATCTCAAACTGTTAAAATAGTAAGACATTTTATTTACAATGGACATTAAAAAAAATCTTGGACATTCATTTGATTATGACTCGCAAGAATTTCCTATCCCCTCCCCTCCAACTGAAAGAACAAAGCTTCCTTTTGGCCTTTGGCAAGAGTTATAACAGCATTTCTAAATGTTTCTGGAGATTCTAGTGTCTCTGTGTCCTGTTTGTAGCACATTCAAATCCAAAAGTATCTATGGGCAAATCTTAACAATGTCCTGTCCTGTGACTGGGAACTGGACTTATGTGGTCATAGTTCCTGGTTCTAGTCAGGACTCGAGCTGCAGCATTTTAAATATACTGCAGCTGTTTCACTGCTTGTTTGGAAAGTCCAGAGAGCAGGCAGCAGTAGTCAAACCTACTGGAAACAAAAGCATGGATACGTTTTCTAAATTAGTTTTAGACACAATACCTTTGATTCTGGCATTATTTTTTAGATGATAAAAATCCACTGATGTTATTGAATTGTGTTGGAGAACATTCATATAGGTCATTCAATTTGTTATAAAATCACAGGGGATGTATATGATAGATGAATGACTACTTGGCACGAGAAAAAATATAATCACATAGAGCTCAGTGATTGCACTGTGTGTGTGTGTGTGTGTGTGTGTGTGTGTGTGTGTGTATGCGTGTGGACCTCTGACTGATACAGAATATACAAAAAATATTGTTGGTATAACTATAGTATTCAGCACACGCCTGATAGTGATGAATATTGGTATAAGGTCAGGTGAAGAGTTTGTAAATAGAAATGCATTTGTAAATATATACTGATATTGTAAATATACAACACATGGTGAAACTAGGGCAAATATTGCTGCTGGATTACATTTATAAGTATAAGAATATACTGTAAGCACAGAAGGCAAGATTATAAAAAGTAATTTAATCTAAGGAATGTAAATATTGTAAATACTTATTATTGTAAAATTTCTGCTCGAATGAATAACGTCAATCAATCAATCAAAGAATTCATGATTTAAGTTGTATCATTTGTGAGGGATATACAATCATTCTCATCATCATCATCATCATCATCAACATAGCAATAACAACACTTATCATTTAACATTTGAATTCCAGCTGAGTTTTTGTTTCCATTCCAAAATCTGACAACAGCTGAACCATGTCTGGCCTGAACTCTAATGGCGCATCTGGCGTGAGTGCGCTGGTGCTCGGGGGGAGTGCTTGGGGGAAGTGCTCGGGGAGGCACGGGCCCTTACCCTCCGCTTGAGCCGTGTCCTGGTGGGCTCTGGGCAGCAGCATCCGGGGCAGGAACAGAGAAACGCAGAGCACGGAGCAGGACAGCAGAGTGACCTTCTGACATGTGGTCATAGACATGGTGTCCGAGGAAAGTGCACATCCACCTTTCACTGCGGGATATAGATGCTCAGTTTGTGGCGACGGTCCAACAGATTAATCCAGATTAAATATGATGCGTTCATGCTCAATCCGGGTGATACACCAACAATGCATGGTTCAGTAAAACATGTTATTCGCAATTTGCGGGTCGAGTTGTTGTTGTTTTTAAACCCTAATATAAATCACAAAAACAATAAGCTCAATATGACAGTGATAATAATGATTTTTTTTTGTCTGTGTCTGTGTTAATCTGGACCTTGAGTCTGCAAATAAAGTTATCTATCTATCTATAATAATTGTGACCTGTGATACCATGAGTCTGTAATAACAGTTTGATTGATTGAATATCATCATGACCCAACTTTATATTTTTGGAGAAGTAATCGCCTTGTTTAAAGTGCTTTGCTTTGATACACTTTACAACAGCTAAATGCAACAGCTCTCCTTGTATATAGAGGCGCATATCAATAGGAAAATCCCACATTGTAACTATAGCAGAGGAACAGCAGATGGCAATGCGACCTCACGTACTGAATATAAGCGACACAACATCTATCCACTTTAGCTCATACGCATAACCTGCAATTTAATGAAGCCACATTGGATTTATTAAGTGGTCAAAGTTCACCGCAGCCAAACATTGAAACACAATCCAATTAAAGCTGGGGTTCCTAAATTAATTTAAATCATGTTTGTTGTTGTTTTTGTTGTTGTTGCAGAAAGCGTCTGAAATGAAACCTTCAGGTGTTGTCTTCATCTTGTAAAAACACTTTTGATCTTTTGCAAACTCAAGTCACTATTTGACGACTTGGGTGAAAAATAGAGTGAAAAATAGTCCTCTCTTTTTCACTTTTCTGTCTGAAACTAAGATGCGACAGAGGACACAAATGTGTAAACAAGTGATGGAGCCAAACTGTATTGAAATTGGTGAAGGACATATTATTACACTAATAAAAGTTTAGTTACCATATTTTTCCCATTGTAAGGATAGTTTTTTGTTGCAGTGCACAGTGTAGGTTCTGTGTGTAAGATTTCTTTAGTTGTAAGTGTAAGGCCAAGGTTATAGGAGGTCAGGCCTTTGCTGTGGATAAAAGCTTGAACCAACAAAGGTCAAGAAGGTGGGACCACTGGGACTTATTAGCGCCAGTGACAGAAGAGGTCCCTCCCACGTGAGTCTTTCTCTGAATACCTATCAGGAGCCTGCTTCAGCTCTGATCAATGAGAGAAACTGTGAGAAGTGTGCACTAAGGTTCTGAGAATAAATAATTCACTATCTACCTACACATACGCTGCCAGCTCCAAGTGATAATTGGATATTGGAAAAGCGTTATGCCAGACCTATAGAAAGCATCCACAAATGTTTGCAAAAATGTATTCTAAAGTGTAATTCAAGACATTTAATTATGAGTTATTATTAGGCACATTTTTACTTTAACTTCCATTTCCAGAATAAAACACCTTGTAAGCACAATCGGCAACAAAACAACAAATAAAAATACACTAAGACTGTAGAAAACCATTGACAGTGTGAAAGAGATCTATAAACAAGCACATGGTAAAAGCAATACATGTATAGATTTAAAAAGGGTTAAAGAGGAAAAGACATTGCGATTATTCAAGTGTGTTTAAATGACATTAAGTTGTTTTGTTTTTTCCAGTGACTCCACGAATTGACGTGGACGAACAATATTGACCATGCATGCCACACACTGTCTATAAGCTCTTAATCCCAGGAAACAAATATTCATGTGTGTGTTTCTGCATGACTGGATTATCGATTATCAGTGCCAAACAGCGCAGATGCCCATTCTGATTATACCCGTGCATTTTGTAATTACATGAAAACTGATAAGAGTTTTTAAAGTTGGACTCTGCTGTTCCTGTGTGTATATACAACCCAAACATCAGTATTTTCCTATCCTGGGTTATCCCTGTGTCCCAGTCTGGAGACAGGGCATTTCTGATTGGAATTTACATGTTCTCTCCAGGTCTGTGTGCATAAGTTTTCTTCAGGTGCTCAGGTTATCCCTACTACTAAAACATGTACAATACTGTATATAGGTAAAGTCCTGACCAAGTCCTGACCAAGCTGAGCATCAAGATCTGGAGATGGTATCTATCGGGCTATCTGTCTGTCCATTCATCCATCCATGTAACAACTAGTAGTGGTGGTTGTGCAGACATAATAAATGTAACATTTGAGTTAAGCAGTCTTATTTTCCTCAATGTTTGTAAATGTAAATGTGCACTTTATTTATCCCCATAGGGAACTTTGTCTTCTGCATTTACCCACCAGAGCTGTACTAGAGTAGAACAGGGCCCGGGAACCCATCTCCAGATGTTGGTGCTCGGCTTGGTCAGGACCAGAGCTGGAAAATGTACCTATTTTTCTTCAGCCTTTGAACATTATGAGGGACATGAATTGCAATACATTGCCAAATCAAATCGCAATACTTCAATAATGTTGAATTGTGGCCCAAATTTTGCAATACTGTCAAATCAGCACATTTTTTCCAATCCCACCCGTACCAACTACTACATGCTTTTACTCAATAAAACAACAGTGGGGCTTGCTAACTTTGGTGTCACAAAAAGTCAATTGGTTGAACATGCACTCAGATCCCCAACATGTAAAATGTCTTTATGTTTTAAGTTAGCGTCAATTCAATCATTGGTTTGCTTCTCTTTGGAATATGCCCAACTCTATCGTGGAACACTGCAGTTGTTAGAATAAGCATTCATATTCTTGTACAGACGGTTGAGTTTAGAATTGGCCTTTCCACTTTTTCACCAGGCTCCCTATTATTCCTCACAACTCAACTGTGAACCTGCGCACAATGTATTTCCATATTCCACTCATAATTGCAGCATTGCCAAATTTTGACTTTTTATTGTTCTCATGGAAACCACACATCAAGCCATGCAATTACTCCAAAAAATAAAAGCTACTAATGTCACTTGGTGTTGAAAATGTCACAATGCCCACCCATTCCTCCAAATCCAGCTGGGAAGTGTGTCTTTTAAATATGACCATGGGCATATACAGCATGCCCAAGCATTTTAACTGTACACTTTGATGCTTTGTTTCCTTTTTTGAAACGCTTTTCTGGAGGTGTATCCAACCCACTGCAAAGAACCGTATTGTTGATTCATGCATAGCTCTTTTATCTGTTTACTGGAGCTGTTATCAAGCTTTTAATTACTTAATTATTCCTCATTGGGCTCAATTAAAACACAATAGACTCCACTGCAGCAAAATCACTTTCTCTATAGCGCAGAAGGTTGTGGCTAGCTGGGGTAAATGTGTTTGCATTTAGATTGTGTATTTACAATGTGGAAATGGTTCACCCTCAACACTGAAATGATGCAAGTTTGTGGGTAAATATGCATATTTTCATAACACAGATGTTATTTTAGAGCATGGTATAGATTTATCTATAACAAAATTCCTGTATCTGTACTATTACGAGTTTTAGCCTGGACCTCTAGACATGTATAATTTAAGGTTCCCCCCCCAAACTCTTTTATAGATTCACCTATTGTCATAGGTGAATCTATAAAAGAGTTTGGGTCTTTGCACCTATCGCAAACAACATTACTTTCTTAGACATAGAAATCAGTGTTTTTCTCCATTCATGTAAGTGATTGGTTGTGCAATGCCACCTTATTCAATGGTGGATTGTGTTTTCACATTTCGCCCACTCCTCCTCCTCTCCATGCCTCTATCTAAATCAGTCAATTTATTTCCAAATTGCATGTCGAGTGTAGGTGCAAGGCCTCTCGGCGCTATATTAAATCAATGCACGGCTATATCTATATGTTTGCAGAAAGGTTCATTTTTTTTCTCCTTTTTGGGATAGTGATTTGATGAGGCTGCAGCTTCTTTCAATAAAGGACAATGTCAAGAATCTTAAACCTGGGAAGAATAAACAATTGATTGTGAATGCAGCTCAAAGAAAGAGAGTTTTAATTGCTCTGTGTAAAAATAGAGTTACTTTATATATAACCCCTTGCATCATCAGAAAACAACTTAAAAGATATTGCATTTCTTTGATGTTCACACAAGACAGAAAAGCATTATTAGAAATCCAGTATTAGCATTTGTTCTTTCAAATTACAGCCAGCGAGCGACTTTGTATTGTGATGAGCAAAGCCACAGTCATCCTGCCAACTTTATTTTAAAAGTATGGTTCAAATAGTCCGACCTTTATCATACGTAATCATCAATTATACAGAGAGCACAAATTCTAAAGGCAGCACCTTTAGATAAAGATACTTGGGAACAAAAAGAATACCACCATTTGTGTCAATCTGCATTAGCCCTAATGAAACGACCCATTCTTTTACACTTGAATTGAAGAGGCCTGAATGCGGCTGCTGTATTATGCTGGGCGCTGCATGTGCCCCTTTTCAATATTAAATAGAAGCATGTCTCTAGTGTGCAGAAGCACCTTGGATGCCCTTAACCAGCACTAATAGGAGATAATGATTGGTGCTCAACAAAAAGAGAGATTCATTTTGAATTATTAACAAGTTAACTTTGTAGTGGAGGCACTTTATCCCAGAGGACAAACAGCCAAATGTTTGCAAAATATAATTAAGCCGAGGCATCTTTAAATGTCATTGCTGCCTGTGCCATGTTTCAAATTGTTCTGCATCAACAGAATTTAACGAGATGGCGAAGGAATCCATTTCCTGCAAGCATGTGATAAGCCACACATACAGTGGAGCACTTTCATTGATTGCCAAAATAAAGCATTTTGTATGCAAATGGGCGACTGGAGTGGCTAAGCTGATTCAGCCTCATGGACACCAAATAATGGTCTTTACAATTAATACTTTTACATGCCATCCATTGAAAATTTCGTCTTCCGTTTAATGCCTCTGGAACATTTACACACATGGCCAGAAAATGCATGTTCCAATGGATTAATATGAAAGCCAACAAACAAATAAAGCCATGGCGCCGCTGGTCCCTC